TCCCTCACATTTTGTAGAGGAAGAAAGTGAGATCCAACTAGGAGTGTTTAGTCTAAAGAAAGACATAGTTGTGATCTGCAAGAGTCTGAGGGACAGTCCTGCGGGGAAGCAGGTTAGGCTTTGTTCTGCCTAACATCACAGGGCAGAAATGGAGCCAGGACAGGACGTTGCAAACATCAGTTAGTCAGCAAACACCTACTCTTTGCCAGGCACGGTGCTAAGAGCTGGGGATACTCAGGAAGGTAAAAACAGAGTCCCTGCCCTCAAGAACACTCTTTCTAATGGGGGAGACAACAGCACCAACAGCACAGATGCAGGGTGAATGGGGGGGTGATCTCAGAGCAAGGCACCAGCATGAATGAGGAAGGGGAAAGGACCCCTGCAGAGTGTGGGATTTCAGCTGCACCTCCAAGGAGGCCAGTCTGGAAGGAGGCAAACGGGGGGCTCCACGTAAGAGAAAGCTGCCTACCAATTAGAGTTAGGCACAAATGTCAGGGGCTGCCCTGGGAGGGGGTGGGAGCACTCCTTAATCAGCTTGGATGACCTTGGTCAAGGGTATAAAGGGGAACCTTGGTCAGGTCAGGGCTAGATTCTTCTTAGAGCCTGGACATGGTCTCTCTTCCTCAAAGATGAAGAGAACAGGGCTCGAGTTGGTCTTGTTACTGGCCCCAGAACGAGGGTCCAGTGTGCCCTGCAGCAAAGTACCCAGCCACACCTTCTGTTCATGCCGAGAAAAGCTCTCCTGCGCAGGTGCTCCCCGATGCAGCAGCTCCTCCCCCTCTTCCACCACGGTCACCCAATCTTACCCTTGCCCATCCAGGAAGCGGCTCCGCTCTTCACGGCTTGTTGAATCTTTCCTGTTTATCTCTGCGTGCCATGTCAGAAGGGAGATTGAGCTATTAAACCAAAAAATCTTTGGCTTTTGAGATCACTGACACACAGATTAATTTGTAATTTAGTAATCCTTCCGATTAATTCATTCACATACTTTCCGTTCCCCTTCCAGTTTCTGAATCATGGGTTGGCATATGAACGGCTGGAAAATGCCTTTGGCCATCCTCGGCTACCAGGATGTGTCTGCTCTGGCAGCGATTTCCCATGAGGGTGAAAACAACAAGAAAATGATACAACGCAGCGTGGAGAACGTGCTCGGCCTCACTAGGGAAAGGTCCTGCTGCCAAGGCCAGCACCCCACAGAGTGTTCTGGACCTGGCTGGGGAATTCCATTCTTCTGCCCGCCCTCCAGGCGGTGGGGCATGGTCTAGAATGAGCTGGCCTTGGCCGCAGGAAGACCTGGGCTCAGAGCTTGCCTCAGAGGCTCCCTTACTGTATGGGCAGATCTCTTCGATCTCTCAGAGTCTCTGTTTTGTCGTCTATAAAATGGGATAATAGTAACTATGGGAAGATCTAGATTTAGAACAAGAAGGGACCTCAAGATAGATCATCTAGCTCCATGTTCTCATCCTTTTGGAGATGAGGAACCAGTGGCCACAGAGGTTAAACTCTGTACTCAAGGTCGTATGGGTAAGAAGTCTCAAACTGGTTTGGAATGTGACCGACTGCTGGTGTTCTGACTGCTGCACCAGCATCCCGCCACTCGGTCCTCCCTCTGACCCACTCTACGTATGGGGGAATCAAATGAGAGAACAGAGGGAAAATACTGTGGAAAATTTAACATACTCTTTGAAAAGAAACTACGTAACAGAGACCCAGTTCCATATAAAATCCACTTTTCCTTATATAGCAAAATGTTCATATTTGTTGGTTTTTTCAAAGTTTTTTTTTCTATTTGGTATTTTTCATTAATTTATTTTGATTTATTAGCCATCACTTCCATAAGACTTTGAGTTTTAAATTTTTCTCCCCCTCCCTCCCCTCTCCCTCCCCAAGACAGTGCGCATATAGCCTATGCATATACATTCTGATATAGCCTATGCATATACATTCCTATTAAACGTATTTTCACATTAGTCATATTATAAGGAAGAATTAGAACCAATAGGAGGAACCATCAGAAAGAGGAAACAAAACAAAACAGAAGAAAAAAAGAGCAAATAGTCTGCTTCCATCTGCATTCAGACTCCATAGTTCTTTCTCTGGATGCGGATAGCATTTTCCATCATGAGACTTTTGGCGATGTCTTAGATCCTTATATTGCTGAGAAGAGCTAAGTCTATCAATGTTAGTCATCGCACAACGTGGCTGTTACTGTGTACAATGTTCTCCTGGTTCTGCTCACTTCACTCAGCATCAGACCGTACAAGTCTTTCCAGGTTTTTCTGAAGTTTGCCTGTTCGTCATTTTTTATAGCATAGTAGTATTCCATTACATTCATATACCCCAAGTTGTTCAGCCATTCCCCAATGGATGGGCATCCCCCCAACTTCCAATTCTTGGCCACTACAAAAAAGAGCTGCTATGAATATTTTTGTACATGTGGGTCCTTTTTTCCATTTTTATGATCTCTTTGGGATGCAGCCCTAGAAGTGCTATTGCTGGGTCAAAGAGTATGTACATTTTTAAAGCCCTTTGGGCATAGTCCCTAATTGCTCTCTAAAATGGTCATTTCACAACTCCACCAACAATGCATTAGTGTTCCAATTTTCCCACATCTTCTCCAACATTTATCAAATTTTTGATTTTCCTGTTTTGTCATGTTGGCCAATCTGATAGGTGTGATTGGTACCTCAGAGTTGTTTTGATTTGCATTTTTCTAATCAGCAGTGATTTAGACCATTTTTTCATATGACTATAGATGGCTTTACTTCCTTCATCTGAAAACTGCCTGTTCATATCCTTTGACCATTTATCAATTGGGGAATGACTTGTATTCTTATAAATTTGGCTTAATTCTCTATATATTTTAGAAATGAGGACCTTATCAGAGAGATTGGTTGTAAAAATTCTTTCCTAGTTTTCTGCTTCCCTCCTAATCTTGGTTACATTGTCTTTGTTTGTGCAAAACCTTTTCAATTTAATGTAATCAAAATGATCTATTTTGCATTTCATAATATTCTCTATCTCCTGTTTCATCATGAATTCTTCTGTTCTCCATAAATCTGACAGGTAAACTATTCCTTGCTCTCCCAGTTTGCTTATAGTATCAGCCTTTGTATCTAAATCATGAACCCATTTTGACTTTATTTTGGTATATGGTGTGAGATTTTGGTCTATGCCTAGTTTCTGCCATACTCTTTTCCAGTTTTCCCAGCAGTTTTTGTCAAATAGTGAGTTCTTATCCCAGAAGCTGGAGTCTTTGGGTTTATCAAATAGTAGATTACTATAGTCATTGACTACTATGTCTTGCATGCCTAACTTATTCCACTGATCCACCACTCTGTTTCTTAGCCAGTTCCAAACAATTTTGATGATTGCTGCTTTATAATATAATTTAAGATCTGGAATGGGTACACCACCTTCCCCTGTACTTCTTTTCATTAGTTCCCTTGATATTCTGGACCTTCTGTTATTCCAAATGAGTCTTGCTATTATTTTTTCTATCACTATAAAATAATTTTTGGTAATTTGATTGGTATGCCACTGAATAAGTAAATTAGCTTAGTTAGAATTGTCATTTTAATTATATTAGCTCAGCCTACCCATGAGCAAAAAAAAATCATGTAAAATTTAACATACTCTTTGAAAAAAAAAACCTATGTAACAGAGACCCAGTTTCATATAAAATCTACTTTTCCTTATACAGCAAAATGTTCATATTTACTGATTTTTTAAAAGTTTACAATTAAAAAGAAAATTGAAAATATATATCAAACACTTGGCAAATTTTAATCATGGGATCATGCATCTAGAGCTTCAGGGGCCTCAGATGCTGTCTGGTTCAGCCCTCTCACTTTACAGATGAAGAAACTGAGGTTGGAGCAGTTAAGTGATTTGCCCAAGGTCACAGAGGTAATAATTGGTAAAGCCAGGATTTGAACTCAGGGGTTTTCTGACTCCAAATCCACGACTCTTTCCCCTATACCACACTTTTCTTCTTGGTCATTTTTAAAAATTTCCGCCTCCATTCAATTTTACCAGGAATTAGAGGTCTCAGTCACTCAGTGGATACTAACCCGAATCCCATGGAATTATTTTACTTCCTGTCCTCATTCATGTTTTTTCGTCTTCATTCATTTTGGATGTGATTTCTCCTTTAGCTCTCCTAAATCAGCTCATTGTAGATTTTATTATGATAGATATAGAAGTATACAGGTATATAAAAGTATAGATATAGAGAGATATGCATCTGTCACATATAGAGAAATGTCTATATATGATCATTATAGATATCTCATATATATCTGTATACCCCCATATATCTGTTATAATAAAATCTACTAAACTAACAAACACATGTATATATTTAGATATACAGACCTGGGAGACTGTCTTGTGACATATGTGTGTATGTATGCATAGATCAATGTATATGTGACATATCACAGAGATACAGATGTATATGAGGCACGGTCTCACGGCTCTAACGCTGCAGGCACCTGGTCCAATGTGAAGCTGGTCTAGCATCCTCATTGAGGGCCAGCTGTCATGTCTCTCCCCGGCCCTCATCCATGGAGCACAGAGGAATCCGGTGTCCAGTGCTTAGCCACTCTGGGGCCTCAAGAGTCATGACCACCCTGCGCTCTGGGCAAGGACGGTAGCATCACCTCTGGCTGCTGCCAGCCCTTGGAGATCTTCCCTGCCCATCCGGGCCCACAGGAAACGCCTGCTCACTAATTCGATAGGTCACACACATTTCCACAGTCTGAGGCACATTTTCCTATATGGGCTTCGCAGTGAGGGCAGCGCTGCCCTCTTCCCAAATGATCAGGGATGTCTCCCCATCCCCCCACCCAGCCTATCTGTCCTCCTGAGATGCCTGCAGCCTCACCGGGCCCCTGGGAGGATACAGGGGTCTTCTCTGGCCCCTCTGCAGCCTCCAGTGTCCCCCTGGCAGATGACATTCCTCAGCCCAGGCCAAGCAGGGTCTCTGCTTCTTTCAGCTGGACAGGGCACTGAGTGTGGAAGCTGGACAGCGGGAGGGAGAGAGCAGTCCCACAATCTGGGAAATGAAGCGCAGACTGGAGGGGGCCGAGAGGGCCAGCCAACGCAAGCTCCAGGCCTACCAGGAGGGGCAGCAGCGACAGGCCCAGCTGGTCCAGAGGCTGCAGAGCAAGGTAAGAGTGGGAGCAGCCCCAACAGTGGATAAACCACAAGCCTGCCTCCTCCCAGCATTGTCCAGAATCACTGAATGGCAGAATCAGAAGGGACTTCCCAGGTGATCTCCCCCTACCCCCTCATTATACAGTTGGGGAAACAGAGGCACAGATAGATGACTTGCCTGCGGTTCCACAGCAAAACTGGGGCTTGACCTGAATGAACAAAGGATATTTCACCCAGGCTCCAGGGAAGGGAGCCCTGGGGTCTTACCTAGTGCCTTGAATGCTGGCCTTGGAGGTAGCAGAGGTCTGGGGCTTGTTTCAGATACTTGGGCAAGAGAGGATAACTCTCTGGGCCTCAGTTTCTGCCCTTGTACCATGAGGGGTTTAGACTTGATAACCCTCAAGGTCCTTCCCACTTCTAAACTGACCCATGTTACAGCTGCTGAGATCTCAGCTCTTGCCTTATGTCTTTAGATGAGGTTGGGAGGGTGCACTCTTCAGGTGCCCTGAAGAGCCTTGCACTCCTGCTGGTGGGGCCTTCAGAGCCCCAGGCTGCCCACAGCCCCCGGCCCCCCCCCTCCTTTGTCAGACTACAAGCTCCTTGAGGCCAGGCACTGCCTCCTTTTTCTGTTTGTCATCCTCCAATTCATTAGCACAATGTTTGGCGCATTTAAGTGCTTTCAAATACTTTAAACTCATTTTTCAGCCACCCATTACAAACCAGCCAGAAGTTTCCACAGTGGCCTTCAGGCCTTCCTTTTTCATTCTACTTAGCCACCGATTCAGGGGGTTACAATTTCTGACTGGGGAGTACACAGATGAGGCCAAAGCCCCACCCCTTCTCCTCTCCCTCCTCCAACAGCACTGGACTGGCTCCCTCGCCATTGAGCCCCACCTTCCCCCTCCTCCTGGGTTTTGGGGGGAGGGGGACTGGGGTGGTAAGAGTTACCATCCTGTAGGGGGAGGGCCAGAATCTCTAGTAGCTAGGCCTTCCTCTCATCCAGCACTACCTCATCCCACCCAGGAGAACACTCCTCTGCGTTGCACCCCCAGCTCTTCCCCAAGTCTTCTCCCCAAACTCCCAACTCAACAGAGTTTTCCCCAAGCACCAGAATCCCTCATTGTGGCCTCTCCCCTCCCCCCCCCCGTCCCCCCCCCCCCCCCGGCTCTTTCCCCTCCCCACCTCAGGTGTTGCAGTACAAACAGAAATGTGGGGAGTTGGAACAGCGACTGATGGAGAGAACGTCCGAATGTGAGCACCAGAAGATGATGGTCAGTGGGGGTGGGAGCCTCCTCTGTCCCAAGGGGCCCAGGGTGGAGCCTTCTCCTTCCCATGCCTCTCCCCAGCCCATCCCCCTCCTAGCTTTGGCAGCAGTAGCAACTAGGTGGTGCAGTGAATAGAGCTCCAGCCTTGGAGTCAGGAGGACCTGAGTTCAAATGTGACCTCAGACACTTGATACTTACTAGCTGCGTGACCTTGAGCAAGTCATTTAACCCCGACTGCCTCACTAAAAAGCAAAAAAGAAAAAAGTAGTAACAGCAGCAGCAGCAGCTGATATTTAAGTCTATAAAGGACTTCCCATACATTATCTCACCAGAGCCTTACAAAAACCCTGTGAGAGAGGGGGAGAGCCTGCAGATATTCTACAGATGAGGAGACTGAGGCTCAGGCTGGCCCATGGTCACTCCTAACGTCTCTCTCTGTGCTGCAATGTCAGTGAGGAGGAATAGTCAGGAGGATGGGCTCGTGTCGGGGGCAGAATTTGAACCCAGGTCGTCCTCTCGCTCCCACTCTAGTACGTGGCCTGAGCTAAGTCCGCGCTCCCTCCCGAGCAGGCTCGGCCTCAGAAGTGGCAGGATGAGCCCGGGGCGCGGAGCCCTTGGTTCAATAGGCCACTGGCACGTCAGTCCCTCCAGGACAGAGCGTCTGTGTTTACTCATTCCCCTTTGGCAGCCGGCCTAACGCAGCGGAATACCCGTTACAAAGCTCGCTCCCCGGGCCATTTCCGTACTGCGCGCCTGTTCTCACCAGCTCAAGCAGCCATATGGGCCTCTCTCGGATGCCTTTGCACAAACTCTCTTGCAAGGATTTTAATAAGACCTCACATAACAAAGAGAAAGCCTCCCCGGGGGGATGCCAACCCCCTGGCCCCGCAGGCGCTCTTGCCATACCTGAGGGGTGGCTTCCAAGTCAGGTCTCTCTCCCCGCTCTGACTCAGTCACTCTGTGGCCTTGGAGACACCGTGTAACTTCTCAGCACCTGAAGTTCTGTGCCCCAGCAGATGAGAATCATCATTCCTGTGAAGCCCCCTCCTCCCCCGCCAGCAACTAGTAGTGGGTAGCCAGCTACCAGTGCTGGGTAGCCGATGGCGACCAGGCATCTGCCCATTGGTACTGGAATCACCCCACCGAGCAAAGCATCCAAACGGCTCCGGGGGGAATAGATGTTTCTAAATTACAAATTCCAAAAATGTTTTTCTTTTAAGAAAGGAAACATGATATAATGGAAATACCACTGTCTAGAGAGTTGCTGCTGTTTGATTATTGAAAAGTCATGTAACCTCTTTGATCCCCAAGTTTCCCATCATAAAGTGGGCATCAAATAGACTGAGGTCATCCCTTTCTAATTCCTGGATCCTGTGCTTTTCTTAATGGACATTGTGACCATCGTGGTTTGCTTCGCTGCGGTATCCTGCCTTTGACTTGGATTGAACTTGAAGGCCACTGAAACCCCCAGATCCTTTTCAGACAAAGAGTTTCTGGCCACACCTCTCCCTTCTGATACCAGTGAAGTTGAGCTTTTGAGCACAAGTGTAAAATTTTGCATTTGTCCTTTTCTGATCTCACTGAATCTGATCCCATCCAACGTTCATGCCTCTGGAGCTCTTTTGATATTCTGACTGTCATCTACCCATGAGCAGAAGCGTGTGTAGACTAGAGGTTGCATGCTAGAGTTGGTGCCCTGAAGACCTGGGTTGAAATTCCACCTCTAACACTTAACTGCATCACCCTGGGCAAGTCAGTGACCTCAATTCTGTACTCTGTGAAATGGGGATAGTAACACCTATATCACTTACTTCACAGTCTTATTATAAGGTTTATCAGAGAAATGGATGCAAGGCATTATATATACATTAGTTAATATTATTAATTCAAATAAATGTCAGCCACAATGTGTCACTTTTTTACCTGGCCCTTAATTAAAAGGCCTCCTGGACCCATAGCAGTACAGCATTACCTGGCTGTCTCTCAAAATAGCCCTCAGAGGTATCTTTGGGAAACTGAGATAAATGCCTTTGTGCTAACCTCCCCTCTGGCTGGGGAACCCTCCCTCCAGGCTCCAAAGCCCTTACTCTCCCCGAGGATTCTGGGATGGTTGGCAATCACGCCACCCTCTCCTTTCCTCCATCCACCCCTCCCAGATGCAGACAAGGCTCCAGTCTGCAGAACAGCGGCTCCGCCAGTCAGAACATGAGTACAGCTCAGATTTGGATGAAGCCCTTACTCGACTGGAAGAAGAAGAACAGAGGTGAGCCTCTGGCCTCTTGAGGAGGACCTGCAGAGGCCAAAGAGGCACTTAGAGGCCACTGAGTCCAACTTCCCCCAGACCCAGGAGGGGAACCAGCTCCCCCAGGTCATACAGGGCAGGAACAGAATTGAGAATACTTAACTTTCCTACTTGGCAGGTGACCCACGCCCATGTCCTTCTCTCCACATGCACTCAGCCACTGCCTTGGGTCAAAGTCTTATGCCCTCTTGCCTGGACAGTTGCAACAGCCCCTAAGAAGAGTCCCTGATTCTGGTCTCATCCCAAGTTCAGGCCTTCCTCCATATGACTCCCAAAGTCACTTCCCTGACCATGGCCTTTCTTGGAACAAAACTACACAGCAGGTCACACGTCTGACGTGTCTCATCTAGTCCAACGCTGTTCTTTTACAGAAAAAAGTGAGGTTCAGTTTGGTGAAAGGACATACTAAGATCCCACAGTAGCAAAGTAAAGGCATCCTTTTTGTGACAGTCATGACTTTCCTTTATTTGGAATCTGGTCCCCCAAGTCCCACACTGCCTGCAGGATTGAAACTCTGATGGTTTTATTTGTGTTGTTCCCCAAACTCCCACCCCTGCCAGGAGCTCGAGCCTTTCCCAAGTGAATGCTCTTCTCCGAGAACAGCTAGAGCACATGAAAAACTCCAATCAGAGGCTGGCTGAGGAGCAGGAGAAGATGGCCAGCAGCATGAGCAGGCTGAGGGAGGAGCTGGAGCAGAAAGAACTCTGCTGGTGGAAGGAGAAAGAGGTGGTCTTTGGGGCTTCCCCACTCCCAGCTCGTAGAGTCAGGGAGGGAGGGACTACCATGTCCAAACATTCCTACTGGCGCCTTAGCAAGATTCTGTGCCCGAGCCAAGGTCAAGGTCATTTGTGAGCTCAAGGCATCGGTCCTATGAGAGAGGAATTCATAAATGGAGGTAGGAGACACCGTTGGGATTCCAGACACAACCCAGACCGTGGCTTCCCACTGACAAAAACTCCTCCGATTTCAAGCTCTCAAGCCAAGGGGAGAAAAAACATGGTGGGCTCCTAGAAAGAGGAAGAGAAAGGGAAGCACTGATTTTTTTTTCTTACTTGTTTGTGAGTCCTGCTTTCTCATATGTTTCCATACCTTTTAGGTGCCCAGGGTGGGGTGGAGAAGAGAGGGACAGAAATACAGTGATACGGTTCCAATTGTGTGCATTTGGCTGGCCCCAACCAAGTGTCACCTCCCTCCATTCTCATCATTTTACAGATGAAGAAATTGAGTCCCAGGGAGGTTAAGTGACCTACCTAAGGTCTCAAAAGTGCTCAGTAGATGGGTAAGTACTGACTATGGAGTCAGAGGATCAGGGTTCAAATCCCATCTCCCATACTTACTAGCTGTGTGACCGTAAGTAAGTCAAATTAACCTTCCCAGTACGAGGTTTCCTCATCTGTAAAATGAACGATGGTCAGTGGTGTCAGACTCAAATGTAAGGGATCCCTGCAGGCAGCATGATGACTTAGAAAGTCAAAAATTAACATTATCTATGTTGCATGATATTTTTATTGGTTTTGTCAAACATCTCCCAATTACATTTTAATCTGGCTCAGGCTGTACTGGGAGTCACTGAGTTGGGCCCCTCTGAACGAGATGACCACTCAGGTCCCTTCTGGTTCTAGACCAGTGATTCTGTGATTCTCCCAGACAGACATGTAGTCCCTCCTGCATTGACCAAAAATGTTAAAAATAGCTGTTCCTGACCTAGAGCTCTGAGGCACTCTTACGGAAAGAACCAAGAGGGATCCTAGTCCTATGGAGACACGCCGTCGTCCTCCGGAGCAACTTTGCAGAACTCCAAGCAGCCACTGAGAGGTGAGCTGAGCAGAATGTTCCCAGGACCCACAGAGAAGGGAATGAACAGTGTACAAGGTGCGGGGGTGAGAGGGTCAGCCAAGCACAGGCTAGAAACCACTTGTTGGGATTCCTTCCATTATAGGCTTCATTTGACGGCTACTGAGGTCCATTCCAGTCTCAAATTCTAGAGATTCCTGGGCCAGATCCACTCATATGTCGCTCTTCAGCCTGACCGCTTGACTCATTGCCAAATTTAGAGTTTCATCATCCTGCATTCTAAAGAAATCCAAGGTCATGATGAGATAATTTCTCATTCATTAATAAAACTATAAACTCTCAGTAATTAATCAGTTGACTCAAATCTCCACCCTAGTTCATTAAATATTATTTATTGAATAAACTAGGGAAATCTTTCCCAACAGCAGTTATTCCTATGCAATTTGCTAACAAATGAAATCAACAATGAAATGAAGACATAGGTGACTATTTACAATATCTTATTACAAGGAAGTTCACAACTAGTCTACTCAAACCCTTGCTATAACAACAGATGACTCCTCTTCACATTCAGAAAAACAACTTTACCACTCAACTAATTTCAGATATTGATTAAAGTCTCTAAAGAATCTTCTTCACATAACTCCTCAAGACAATAGTTAAATTCAGTTTCTCAGGAACCAAATTAGTCCTTTTTAGTAAGTTAGTATCTTCTCTTCAGTCATTACAGGAAACAGGCCTTCCAGAATACACTGTACTCTCTAGCCTCTCACAGACTCTTTATAGAATCCTCTTTACAACACCACAGTTAAAACAAATCTGATAAAGAAGTTTCTCCTCACATTCTTTCTCTCTGTCTTCTCACAATCAAAAATACACACACACACACACACACACACACACACGCACACACACACACATCCCTTCCTTTATTACATAGGTAGGAGTTCATAGCAAAACATTTTTCAACTGCCAACACAAACTACCTTTTCTGCAACATTCCATTTGGCTCTTAAAGACATGTTAACAGGATCTTTAGTCTTTGTAATAGGGCTGCATAAAACAGGTGTTACACAAGTAATCACAGATGTGACTGATAAACTAAATGTTTGTGACATTAAACGAACCAATAAATATAGACTTTATCTACAGAGTATCAAAATATTTGGAAGAAAATTGCAACTATTAGTCAGTCATCCAGATATTTAGTCTCTACTGTGGCAAACACGTGACTGTTTTAAAACCTCTGATTAATTCATAATTTTTATCTTTCAACTGGGTGTTTGATGATGCAGAAGGTGAAGACAATGACATTGATTACAGCATTTTGAGGGTGAAGAGCTCTGACGTACAGAGGGAGGGAGCTGCAGAATGTGGAAATGTAGATAGATCATCTACTCTTCTACAATTAATAGTCCCATAGACAGTTTTCTGGTAGTACTAAGGGTTAAGTGTTAGAGTCATATAGCTAGTAAACATCAGAGATAGAATTTTAACTCAGGACTTGCTGATTCTAAATCTAAAACTCTATCATGATAGATTAGAGAGAATGATGAACTTAGCATTGGGAAGTCTTGAGTTCACATTCTACCCCTGACATTTAAAATCTGTGTGTCCATGGGCAAATGAATCACTTAATCTCTCTGAGCTTCTATTGAGTCCTAACGATTGATCAGTGAGAGACAAGTTGAGAATTGCATTAATGGAAGGAATTCCCACACTGGTGATTATCATAGATTTAGTGCTAGAAGGACCCTCAAGGCCACTGATGCCAACCCCATAATTCCTCAGATGAGGAAACAGAGATCAAGGAGGCTAAGGGACTTACCCAAAGTCACCCAGATTCTTAATATAGAAATCTTTCATCACTTAACTAAAAACGTAACAATGACAGATTGGTTAATTAGTTCATTTAGTTTAAAAAAATAAACCAACCTCAATCACTGATTATTGAGTATCCTGTGAATCAACTAATTCACTGAAGACCCAAATCTTCAACTGTCTTGATAGCACAGTCTGACGCCATAAGGTCATTGAACTTGTATCACCATTTTCTGAATGGAAACTCCTAGAATTTCCTTGCCTGCAGAAGAACCAATAGGTGGAGTTCCCCATGATATATGTCGCCCCCTTGCTCACTGATATTTGAATGTTCTGTAACAGAAAGTCCTTCATTTTGCCACTTGAGATAAAACTAGCAATGCAGGTACCCTTAGGAGAGGTTGACTTAAAGCCAAGTTAAGATAAAAATGAATGCAATTTCATCTTTTCTGCTGGGTATTCTTATAAACAAACAATAAAGTTTTCAAAAATCATAAAAAGAAAGTCCACTTAAAATAACAATAAAAACCACTCACTACATGGGAATTAATTTATCTAGAAAAACACATTAGCCTAAAAAAAAGACAACTACAAAACTGTTGTGACAGATATAAAGAAACATTTTAGCAACCCAAGGGACATGCAATGTTCATGGATTGATTGGATCAATTTACTAAACATGACGTTTCTCACTAAATTAATTTATAGATTTAATTATATATCCACAAACGTGTTAATGGATTTTTTTTTAAATTTGAATTTAAAAGATTAAATATGCATGAGAAAGCAACTAGATGAGAATATCAAATGGGAACTGTGGGGGAGGGGAGGAAGCTTATGAAGGTGAATTTTTATCTCTAGACCTCAAATCATCTTACAAAAAATCCAATATCAAAATTACCTCAAACTAGTGGGGGGGAGAGAAATATATCAAATGCAAGCCCCGTACATTGAAACAAATTGCTATGAAAGGTAATGTTTGATGAGCCTACAGAAAATAAAAACTGAGAAATGGTTCATTATTCAATAAGTATAGTTAAAGAAATTAGCAATAAGGTGAAAAATAAACTCAAATGTACATCATATACATGATATGCCACACTAAATCCCAGCTAGATTATAGACTAAAACAACTATTTAAAAACATGGAAAAACAGAACAATATATCCTCACTTGTTGATAGTAGATTAAATTTATCTAATAAGCAAATAGAAGAAAATATTAAAAACAAGATACCTATATTTGATTATAAAAATTGGAAATTTCAGCACAATGAAAATGAGAGTTAAAAGGAAAAGAACAGAAGGGATAAGAAATGAGGGGAACATTATTATAAATGTAACAGGTAAAATCAACATTTGAAATCTGTCAGGAACTAGACAAAATATTCCAAGGTAAAACTCAACTCCCAATGGGAAAATGATGAAAGGATATGAATAGCATATAAATACAAATCACAGTAACATGAAAACCCCTGACAATCCATAGTAACCCAGACACACCCAGTGCTTTAAGGCAAAACACTTTACATGCAGACGCCATTTAAGCTCCACCCAACCCTAGATCCTTTAGATGTTATCAGTCCTATGTTACAGTTGCAGAAGCTGAGGTTCAGAAAAATTCAGTGATTTTGCTACATTCACACAGTTACTAAGTGTTAGAGGTGGGAATTTGACCCTCAGATTCTATTTCCTATATTATGCTGCCCATTTCTATATCAGCTCCCTCTGTACTTGAGCTACTTTCATAATCACTTTTTAAAAAAATATTCCCTCTAAAAATGGAAGAAATACAAATTAAAATAACTTTGAGGTATCATTTCAACCCATAAAAATGCTCCCTCCATCACCCAAAAGAAAATACAATGTTGGCAGAGCTGTGGAGACAAATGCACTCAAACATTGTTGGTGGAATTGCAAATCAGTGGAATCTTTCTGGAGAGCAGCCTGGTAATGTGCTCCACCATCTTGGCTCCAATGTGCTGCTATAGTTACAAAAACACTCATGTCCCTTGACCCAACAATCTCATTACTTAGAATATAAATTTTTCAAGCGTATTTACAGATTCCAAATAATGTTTTCTTTTCTTTTTCGGGTTTAGAATTGGGTCCATCTTGGCCAAACTTTTTACTTTAAAGATGAGGAAACTGAGGCTCAGGGGACTGAAGTGATGAGCTACAGACAAAGCCATCTCTTCAGTCCCATCTCTTTTCCCCCATCAGAGGTCTAACAGATATGAAGTCGGACCTAGCCAGGACGGCACGCCGACTGCAAACTGCCTGTCTCAATCTCGACTCCAACCTGAGACTGTCTGACAGCCATGCGCTTTCCTCCATGGAGAAGCAGGCCCGCTACAGCACCCAGCTGGAGCAGCAGCTTCTGGACAAGGTGCGAGAGATGATCCAGCTTCAGAGCCGCTGGGACGCCGAGAAAGTGGAGCTCCACTCCAGGTGAGAGCGGCAAGCGGGCGCAGAGGAGCCCTGGGGAATCGGTCAGTCACCAACAAGCATATATTGGGCACTTCTCGTGTGCCAGGCATCATGCTGGGCATATACAAGCACAAAGAGGAAACCATTGCTGCTCTCAGTGAGCTGACATTCTAACGGGCGTCACGGACATACAACATAGATATAAAGAGAAGAAACACACATCTGTTATGTCCATGGTGCCTCTTCTCAGATTCCTCCTCCTACAAGGCTCAGCTCTGATGCCCCTGCCTCCATGCAGCCCTCCTCCATCCCCCAGTGGCTCGTGTTCTGTCCTCTATACTCATTTATGTGCCTTTTGTCTCTCTTCAATCCCAGTAGAATGCAAGCTCCTTGAGGTCAGGGACTGCTTCATTTTTGTCTTTGTATATTCAGGGCCCAGTAGATCCTTAAGAAGTGTCCAGGGAATTTAAGTGAATTTCAGGTTTATCTCGTCTGAATTTGACTCATCTCTTTCAGCCTTTGCTCTATCCCTCTTTACCCCTCTAGGCTCACGGAGCTGACTCAGCTAAGAGAAAGGCTCCAGGAACAAAATGCTAAGAAAGAGAAGGTCATATCTTCCCTAAAACTGGACATTCAGAAGCTGGTGTGTGTATTCATGGAGACTTTTCTGTTGGGTGTTTGCTTCCTCTCGTGTCCCCAAGGCCTGTTTGCATCATTAAGACATTCTCTTCTCTGAATCTAGGAATCCAGCCAAACTGGAGGTCTCCTGGAGGCGGAGGACTTGAAGGAGCAAGTGAAATCTTTACAGCGTGTTTTAAATCACATCACGAAGGTGCCGTGTTACTCATGGGGAATCCCAAGAGCATGGATTTAGTGTAGATAAGAAGCTTAACGACTGGCCATCCAGTCCAATTTCCTCATTGTAAAGATAAGGAAACAAGGCCCTGGAACGCAAAGGGTCTTTCTCAAAGGTCACATCTCTAGTAAATGTCGGAGGCATGATGTAAAGAACAGAGAGGGCAGTTTGACCAGAGCGTAGAGGATGAAGGGGAAAAGGGAATAGAAAGAAAAAACAGAGACCAATCCACCAATGAGGTTGTTTTCTTTATGTAGACCTACTATGTGACCAGTACTGTGAAAGGCCCCATCAGGCATACGGGGTATATGAGCTACTACTTCTATGAGGACAGCTGACCAAGTAATGGTGACATGAAACTGATGTACCTGATGCAGTTACCAAAAATATAGGATGGCTCATGAAGATAGCCTTCGTCGTATAGTAGAGACTCGAAATATTTAATCGACTTTTCATGTCCCTGTGACCCTAGGCAAGTAACAGTATTTAGGGTCATGGATTCAGTGATGAAAGTCACCTCAAGCCTTAGCCAGAAGGAGAAAACCGAAGTCCAGAGAGTTAGGGAAGTCCAGAGTCCAGAGACTCGGGCCCAAGGTCACACTGAGAGTGAGGGGCAGAGCTGGGATAAATCCCTTAACTTCATTGTACCTCAGTTTACTTGTCTGCAAAATGAGGAAAAAGCTACCTGCAGGGCCGACCTTCTGGGGCCATTGTGAGGATTAAGTGTGATAATAGACACGAGGATCTGTAAATAGTAAGGTGTTCGATGTGACTGTGATGAGGAAGATGATGGTCATTCATTGGTTTTCTCCATTCTCTGTTCCCCCCAAAGTTAGTTCTAGCCGAATCTGAGTGTGTAGGCCTTCCCTCAGCAGAGAACCAAAAGAGCGGAGGGCAGGAAGATCGTGGAAGACAGCCATCCCCTGCGCACTCGGGTTCCCCTCCTCCACAGCAGGCATCCCTGGCCCAGCCCTACTCCCCGCTACACCAGGATGCAGCTCTGCAGACCATCCAGGCAGCCCTGCAAAAGAGGAGCCAACAGGAACAGGTGGGGAGGACCCCCAACACGCAGGGTTGCTTATGTACAAAGAGCAGGCCAGCCAATGGAACTTGGGCCTCCCCCAGAGCGGAGACTGGTTTTTGCTGGAGAGGACAATAATAAAAATCCATCTCCTTAATTTTGTGTTTCCTGAAATGCTACAGTCAGCTTGCTCGGGTCAAGGTGATGGGCAGGAAGGGAAAGTCTTGAGTATATTGGAGTAGAATTGTGTTTTCACTGAGAATCAGTGATGCTTGGATCAGACAACCAGAGGTAGCAACAGCAAACCAGGCTCCCCTACAAGCCATGGAAGTCAATAGCACTTTCTTACCATAGACTTCTGTAAAGGACCTTGTAGATCACCTAATCCCCTTCCTCATTTTACTGTCTAGGAAACTGAGGCCCAAATGGGAGAAGTGACTTTTCCAGGGTCATTTAGCTGGTAAGAGACCCTGGGCTTGAGGCCGCCCTAGCTCCCAAATCATAATTGATTACATTGGATTGCACTGCCTCACGTGAACATTTCCCACAAGAGCTAACTCAGCACAAAGTCGTAAAGTGGTGACTTGTTTCAGGGCCCACCCCAACTCCAGAACCATATCTCCACCTAGTCACCCGGACCCCTCATTACCCTCCTAGAAGGCCACACTCTAGAGCTTTCTTTTCTTCCTCTGACCCTTCAGAACTTGCTGACCTGTCCTGCCAACCATTAACCGTAATCATCAGTGCTCAAAAGAAATAATATTCCTAGGTAGTACATTTACAGTTTTAGAGAGCCTCTTGAGACAGTGTGTGAAGCCAGTGTAACAGTGACCATCGTACCACAGCAGTGTGGTGGGAGTGAATAGAAGACGGGACCTGAAATTTGTAAAATCATAGATATAGGACTGGAGGGGACTCAGAGGTTATTCAATCCAACTCTATAATTTTACACATGAGGAAAATGAGCCCAGAGAAGAAAAGTGACCCAGGAGTGCAGGAGCATAAGTTTCGAGCTGTGGGGCCATGGGGGACCTCAAAGGGGCTGTCTCTTATCCCCGAGGTTAGCTCTTTCTGTACGTGTAGCACGCATCATGAGTGAGAATGTGGTGTATGTGGAGTTATCTAATTGGACTCATAGCTCAGCCCCCACCCCTGGCAAACACCTCCCTCTTCCCTTGCTGCATTTCACTGGAATCACTCATACAAGCCTGGCACAATGGAATCAATCCATCAGCCAAGCGTGATGACGTAACTGAATATAATTCATAGAAGAAAAGACAGGAAAGAGCCGCCATGGAGCCTAGGCACCCTTAGCCTCTCTCTGACCAAGCAGTCCACATGCTTTTTAGGAAGGAGCTCAAGGAACCTAGCTGAGATGCTCAGATTTAAACCCCTCACCCAGCGCAGTCACTCACAGAATCCACGTGGCCATGCCCCAGAATCTGCGGTCCAGCTCCTGGGCATCTCCTCCTGCTCTTCTGTTCTGCTCTCAGCAGGGACCTCCACCCCTGTCCTCCAGCTGCTTCCAGACACAGCTTATTGGCCACCCGGATCATCTGGATCCATGACCACCCCTCCCCTCCTCACTAGTAGAAACACAGAAGCCAGGCTCCAAGGTAGGCCTGGGCACAGAGCCCTAAGACGTGGGTCCTCTCACTGGACATTACTGCATCTTGCCCTCAAAAAAACCAACTTGCCAACCACAGATCCCATGAAGCCACGATGCCCTTGTCAGCCTGAGAGGAGGGTAGGGGGAGACAGGCATAGCCACTCTTCCGTTGGTAGAGGGAGCTTCTTTATATCAATGAAATCACAGGCATAGGGCCCCCAAAATAAAAAAAAATGAGGAGAGAACCACCAGGGTCTAGATTGGAATTAGATGTTAGTGACATTGACAGGATTAGGTCATGCCCGGCTCAGTTCTATCCATTTTATAGATGAGGAAACTGAGACCCAGACCGGCTATGCGGCTCGCCCAATATTTCTCCCCAGTAGAATGTAAGCTACTTGAGGGCAGGGCCTATTTCGTCGTGTATGCCCAGAACCAAGCCTAACAGTGCCCTGCACCTTTGTAATTGCTGCCTTGATGAAGTAGGGTCAGAATTCAAACCCACTCAAAAGCCCATGTGCTCTTCACTGAACTATACTGCCTTCCGCACTGGTCTCCCCGCAGCGATGACTTTGTGACAAAGGCACCATCCTGACCCTAATGGGTCTTACCATCAAGCTGGGAAGATGAGACACATTCACTGGTGACTAGTCTCCAGCTAGAACGTGGAAGGCTCAGAGTCAGGACCACGTGCTATGAAAAGCTGGACGGGGGAGATGACTGCCAGATGGAGCTGGTGGAGGGGGCAGTTCAGGAAAGACTCCAGGAAGGATGTCACCTGAGCTGGCCCCTGAATGAAAGGATTCCGAGAGTCAGGGAGGAAGAGGAGGGGGCAACGGAAGCCATACCAGGTCCCTGCCTGTAATGGTCCGGACCCCTTCCCAGCCTGCATCCCTCGAGCCCCTGGAATGCCTGGCTCCGGAGGGGCTGGGCCAGGGGGCTGCAGGCCAGGCCCTCCCAAGCTCTCACACAAACCCATTGTTCTCAAGGCTGTTGCATCATAGGGGAGTGAGGAGGGCAGCCTTGGCTTCAGCAGAATGTCTTGCATAATGCTCAGTGTGTTTTTCTAGGGAAGGAGGGTTAGGAAACCCTTGCTCTCTGTCCCTCCTACGTGATTCCCTCCATCCCTCATTTTGGAAGCCAATTCTCCCCGAGTCACAGGGGCGGGTTCCACAAAGTGAGTCCTCAGGGGTGTGTGGGAAGGCCCTAGTATGGCTCCCATTCCTGGAAATGGTTCAGCGACTAGAGATGATTACCATCCCTAGAGAGGGAAAAGTGCCTGAGCCAACCAGAAGTGGGGAGTGGGGGATGGGGAGGGTGCAGGAGGACTGTGCTGGAGCCAAAAGGCCCACATCTGTATCCTTGTTCTGCCCCTCAATGTCCCCGTGTCGCCATTCACAGAATCACAGAACTTCAGAATGTGATTCAGAGGCCCCAGTTAGCCCAGCCCATGCACACAAGGAACCCCCAACATAATAATATCCCCCAACAAGCGACTGTCCAGTCCGTGCTTGCACACCTTCAAGGAAAGGAGACTCACTATCTCACCAGGCAGCCCCTTCCGCCATTAGACAGTTGTCATCGTTCAGAAGTCTCTCCTAGCGTGGCCCTTATCTAAGCAGGCCTCCGCCATCTCGAACTTGTGAGGGGTTGATCTTTCTGAATCTAAGGGCAAGACTTGACATTGATCCCCATTGAGTTTCATCTCATTAGATTCTGCCCGGGGGTCTAGGCCATCAATGTCTTTTGGGGAACCTGACCATTGTCCGCTGTGTTAGCTCTTTCTCCCAGCTCGGTGTCAGCGGCAAATGTGAGCCCGCCATCTTTGCCTGTATCAGAATCAATGATAAACATGCTAAAATGAACAGGGGCAAGCACAGGGCAGTGGGCTTGCTCTACTAGAGCCCTCCTTCCATAATGGCAAGGAACCAGCGATGACTTCTCTTTGAATCCAGTCACCCATCTAGCTCTCAACCCATCCAGTTGTCTTATCTAGTCCACATGTCTCAGCCTCCACCTCAAGAACAGGATGAGATATTTTATCTAAAGCTTTGCTAAAATCCATGGGAGTTAGAGCACTAGCAGTTTTCCTCATGCATCCTAAAGTCAGGAAGAACTGGGTTAACCCATATGCGTGCACAAACACACTTACTATCTATTTCTCCTCTGTAAAATTGGGGTGATAAAATCTGTAGTCCCTCCCTTCCAGAGTGCTGTGAGGCTTCAGTAAGATAATGCATTCATAGCTGTGTGACCCTGGGCAAGTCACTTAACCCTAACTGCTAGAAAAAAAAAAGATAATGCATTCAAAGAAGCACTTTGTAAACACTAAAGAGATAGATGAATAACAGGTCTTGTTAAGAAGGATGGGGAAAGAGACATGAGGGAATGAGAACCAAGATGCAGAAGGCAGGGGATAAGTATGTCAAAGACAAGTTTTGTCAATCTTAAAACTTTAGTTTGCATCAATTCCTCATAGGAACTCCCTTTTAGAGCCTAGGAGTCTTAGAGTTACCTGGATACTGAAATGTTTAGTGACTTGCCCAGTGTACGTTCATTGGTCTGGGCCAAAAAACAAAACAAATAAAAACAACAACATTGCAATAAATCTAAGGATAACTCCCAGAAAAAACAGTAACAATAACCATACTAATAATAATTCCCATTTATGATGCACTTTAAGGTTTACAAAGGATGCCCAGGCTTCATTCCTGTGGATTCTTAGCTCACTGTCCCATTTTCTCTTTGTCTGGGCAGGAGCTGTGGCTGCAGCTGGAGTCCTCTCAGGCCACTGTGACAATGCTCCAGAAACAGCTGGCTGACCATCAGAAGGAGGTCCAGGCCACAGAGTGGCAACTCCAGGAGCTGAGACAAGAACGAGAAAAACTGCTGGTCAGGCTGGAGGACCAGAGGCGAGACCTGGAATGCTGCAAAGCCTCTGAAGAGATGTTGGGAAGGTGAAAAGGGTAGACTGGTCCTGGGTCGGATTAGCAAAGAGCAGACAAAAACAAAGACAGGTTAGGGACGCTAGAGCCCTTCCAAACCCAAAGGTATGTGGGCTGAGCCAAGGTTATGTAAAGGTATGGATGCTTAACCAGGGGCTGCCCTCAGGAAGGCTATGGACTCAAGCATGTTTAACTTCCAAAGGGTATAATTAGGGTAGAACAACTGGAACTCCAAAGCACTGACATTTAGGGGGCCCTAATAGCAATTACACTCTTTGGTGAGGTAGAAGCAATTGATCTTATCACTGAATTAACCATAGTTATTGTTGTTCAATCATGTCTGACTCTTCATGACCCCACAGACCATAACACACCAAGCCCTTCTATCCTCTACTGCCTCCCCATGGTCTATCCAAGGTAAGTAAGATGATCTGCAACTCCAGTCGTTTGGAGGACTAGCCACATTTTGTTGTGATCCATGTAGTGAAAGGCTTTGGTGTAGTCGATGAAACAGAAGTGAATGTCTTTTCTGGAACTCTCTTGCTTTCTCCATAATCCAGCAAATGTTGACAATTTGGTCTCCAGTTCCTCTACTCTCCTGGTAATTCTCAGTTCACCTCTATGAACCAGTGAACCAGACTTTCTGTTCATCACTAGACACATCCATAGCTGAGCTTCCTTTCAGCTTTGGCTCAGCTGCTTCATTAGCACCAAAGCTATTTGTAGTTGTCCTCAACTCTTCCCCAGTCACGTGATGAATCCCCTCCTGGCTCACTGCCTTTTGTGGTAGATGGGCTTTCATAGGTCAATGGAACTACGAGCTATGCTATGCAAGGTTACCCAAGAGGGACAGGACATAGTGGAGAGTTCTGACAAAAGATGATCTACTAGAGAAGAATATGGCAAACCACTTCAGTATTTTTGCCAAAAAAAAATGAACAATATTAGCAATAGTATTAATTTAAATAGATAGCAGGGTTCCTCCCTTTCAACAACTTTATGGTGTCCTGAAACTTCTTCCAATGGGATCTAATATCCAGACCTCAAGGTCTGAGGTTTCTCTCAAAGGTCAACCCCAAAGCTTTACCATCTCTAATGATGTAGTTTTAGGATCCACAGAAGCTGAGATCAAAAGGATGGCCTCCCAATAGAGGCCTCAAAGTATACCAGTCAGTTAGTCAATCAACAAGCATTTATTAAGTGCTTACTATGTATCAGACACTTGCGATCCTCTCTACCCATAAGTACCTCCCTGATGCCATGGTCTTCTTTGAGAATTAAGGACAAACAACAACAAGAAGACTGACAATGTGCACCACAAGATGGACAAAGTCTTAAGCAACCTTTAGTTTTCATGAGAGAGATGCCAGCTAGTTCTTCCATTTTTAACTCAAACTATAAGGACATTAGTCAAAAACAAGACCTTAAATTAGTAACCAAGGCCAGCAAATGGGGCTTTGTTCCAGGCTGACAAATTTAGAGGTCACTTGCAGCCCTTTCAGAGCTTCCATGGTAAAATATGATAGAGTTTAGCCCCTCATTAGTAAAAAAAAGTTCAAATAGAAGCTACCAGAGGGTGGTGGAGGTGACTTCTACCCTAGCCCAGCTTAACTCCATCGTCACCCCCAAAAGTGTCCTCTTGGTGGTGACCTGAGGTTTCTGACTCCCTCAAAGTGTGGTATTTCTACCATTCTGGCTCCTTGTTCAACTGAGAGTTCACTCCTTGGGACCTGTCCCAGATGATTATGGTGGTACATGTACTGGTCATAAAAATTCCTATTGAGGTTCTGCACAGTCTGACCAATGTATCAGAGGCAGATGAATGAATAGGTAGATGGAAGGGGGGATGGATGGATGAAAAAAGCATGTATCATGCCTTGACTGCATGCCAAGAACTGAGTCAAGTACTAAAGATATGGAAAAAAAAGGAAAGATAGCTCCTGCCCTTACAAAGCTAAAATTCTAGCTTTGTAAGGAGTAGGAGGGCTGCATCATAGATACTGAAAAGTGGTGGCCAAAGAGGAGCGTTTTGATTTGGGAAGTCCTAAAGGTGGTGAACAGAGCCACAGGGGAGCAGATTGGCACACCCTTTCCCCCAGCTGAGGGTTAAGACATCCAGACCTGACCTTGATTTTGGTAGCTGTTTAAAAGATGGAAGAGGAATAATTGAAGCCTGGCTGAAGCATTTAGCACTGTGCCTGAAATGCAGTTGATGCTTAACAAATACTTGCTGACCTGAGTTACTGACTTGGGGCAGCTGCCCTGATATAATGTTTCAATGAATAAATGAATTCAGATCTAGGTGTTTTGTGAGGTTCCCTTGGGGGGCTCCCCATCTGTTTCCTCTGTGCACCATGGCTAGAGGAAGTTAAGTCTTACCACAGAAAAGTCACTGACCACATATTCACATCCACCAATTCTAGCTTGTTGGACTTTGGGATCATAATGTTCATGAAGAGCTGAATGTTCTCCAGGTCAGTCATTCACTTCTAGTCTCTGGAAGTTACTTACTTGGCCCTGTTGTCTACCAAGTGAAAGAGAACTTCTCAAGGACAAGATTGAGAAATAAGTTCCCCAAAACTTGTAAGGTCCCCCCAGTTCTAGATCTAAAGCTGTGGTCCTAATACCATCAAATATTGTTTGACCCATTGAGGGGTGAGTGGGCAAGGAGCAATCATTCATTTTAGGGACATTCGCACCATCCGTGGTATTCTTTGTATTGACTGAATGACAAGCGAACCAAGAGCCCCCTCTGTCACTTTTGTCATGTACCTGTGCCATCAGAAACATGCAAGAGGAGGGTGATTTGTCTGTGAGAAAGTCCGTTGGTTCCCCATGCTAGAGAGACTGAGGTCAGAACAATGGTGCTTTCAAAGCAACAGGCACATAGCCAAGACTGGGGTGAGTTCCATACAACGTTGACATTAGCTCAGTTCATCTGACTTAGAGTTGCGTGTGAATTAATTGGAACAAGCAATAATTTTGATATGGGTTCATTTTATAACAACAATATTGCCATGTGTGCGTCTACTGACACTAGGCTGACTTAAAATATCTATTTTAGTAAGATGAAACTGGTTTCCTCACTTTTAGTTTTCTGTCCAACAAGTGCCATATTTTGTACTATATGCATGTGTTTTTATTATTCTCTTCTGTTGTGTTTTTAATTCTATTTTTTTAAGAATGGGCAATTCTTCAAGGAAATGTATAAAAGTTGTAGTTCTTAAAGAGCACACTTCAATGACTGTTAGAGATATTGTAGGGGTTCTTGGTATGAGGAAGTCAAATGTTTCAAGGATCATTTAAACTCACAATGAAATGGAATTAGTTGCAGCAAAGCACAAAGAAAAGTATGATGGGGGGGGGGGAAACATCATTTTCGTTTTTCTTTCCCCAATAGTGCCTTTCCCTTAAACTAAGCTTTTTGAATCTATAAGCAGCTACTAAGCACCTACTATACGATGATCACTGTGTTAAGCTAAGTCCTGGGGATACAAAGAAAGACAAAAGACAGTCTCCTGCCCTCAAGGAGCTCAAACACTAGTGGGGGAGATGACTTGCAGACAACTGTGTACAAACAAGCCACAGACAGGATGACTTGTCATGGAGTGGACTTCCTCCTCAGAGAGACCCACTCTTTATCTCCCTTTCTGCCCCACAGGGAAAAGGAGACCTTGGAGACCAGGATGCAGGACTTGACCCAAAAGGCGGATCGTTCCTCCCTGGAAATAGAAAGGCTCAAAGCCACCAACACGGAGCTGCAAAGGCATCAGAGTCTCTTGGAGAAGCAACGAGAGGAAATGTCAAGAAAGGAGGAGAGGAGTCAGAAGGAATTGGAAACAGGGTGAGTGCGGCTGGATTCCGGAGGTTTGCTGCGCTGAGATGAAGGGGTGCAGGGGTGAGCCCCAGGAGAGCCTCCCCCAGGGCACTCTCCGGGGGTGTGGAATCTCCCAGTGCTCCCCGGCACCAGTTAGAGATGTTCAGGGCTAAAAGAAGGGGCCTCCTTGTTGAGTCGTTTCAATTGTGTCTGATTCTTTGTGACCCCATTTGGGGTTTTCCTGGCAAAGATACTGGAGCTGTTGCCTTTTCCTTCTCCAGCTCATTTTCCAGATGAGGAAACTGAGGCAAACAGGGTGAAGTGACTTGCCCAGGGTCACACAGGTAGTAAGTGTCTGAGGACAGATTTGAACTCAGGAAGAGGACTAATAGAGTGCCCAGCACTCTATGCTCTGTGGCGCCCCCAGCTGCCCCAGAAGGGGGCCTCAGGGATCGTCTATCTGGTCCATCACTCTCCATCACATGGAGGAAACTGAGTCCTATAGAGGAGATAGGACTGGCCCACGGTGGCTAAAGACCGGCCTGGCAAGAGAAGCCAGAATCACTAATCTAATGTTCTTGCCGCGAGCTCAGCTGGAGCTCTGGGAATCAAGACGTTGGATGTTCCGATCATAGATTTTAAGTTAGAAGGGAACCGTAGAAACAGAAATTAAGTGACCCGTCCAGACTAAGAGCCGCTGAAGGTCTGAGCTGGAGTCTGACTCTGAGTCAGGGCCCTATTGACATGCAATGGACAGGCCCTCGGGAAGCCCCCATTCTGTCAGCCCGGTGCTGGGCACCGTACAATGGCATAAATGAAGCAGTCCATTCCACTCTGAAGGAGATGCTGGCTCGGTGCTCTTTGGCTTGTGGGAGTGGCACTGATGCCATTCAGAGTCTGGGGTGACGTGGTGCTTTGTCCCTAAGAACAGTGGGCGACTTTGTGGTTACAAAGCAGCTCCACATAGATGATCTCCCGTGAACCTCGAAAAAACGGCATGAGGCAGGTATGACAGGCGTTACACCCATTCTTCAGATAGGGAAACTGAGGCTTAGGGGGGTAGAGGGATGGGCCCAGGCCAATGAGCTTGTACAAGGCAGATTGAGGACCCTATCCCAGGGCTTCTGACTGCAAGCCCTGTGATCATTTCACTTTATTTCGCGGAGTGAGAGGTAAATAGGTGCTCAATGTGGGGGAATACTTCTTAACAATTAAAGCAGTCTCAATATGGGAAGGGCTTTCTCAGGAGGTGGTGAGCTCACCATTACTGCAGGTCTGTAAGCAGAGGCTCCATGAACACTTTTCAGAGATGTGCTGCAGAGGGGAGGGATTCTTGGGGATCAGTGGGACCAGATGGCCTCAGGGGCCCTCCCCACTTTGGGGTGCCGTGACTGTGCAATAAATGATGAGCGTTTGAGGTATACAAGCAGGTCCTGCAGCAAGGACCTCCCCCATCTTATACATAAGGAAACGGAAGTACTCAGGGCTGATGTGATTTGGCCAAGGTCACTCAGTTAGCAAGTGTCAAAGGGGAGTCCTCCTAACTCTAATCCAGTACAGTTTCTAACCTGTCACACACTGCCTCACCACCCTACCTTGTTTCATTCAACAGCATTTATTAAGTACCTCCTGTGTGCACAGAGACTAGCAGTGATGGAAGGGATGAGTAAATGAAGCCATTACCCCTTTTCGAGCCTCAGTTTCCATGTTTTTGACGTGACTTGATAGGGTTAGACCGTTAGAGTGAGATGCCACCAAGTTGTAAGGAGAACCTCTGGCCCAATGGGCAGGGCTGGCTTTGGGGCATGATGAGTAGTAAGTGAAAGCTAAATGTTGGCTTTTTCCCTCCCCTCCCCCTCCAGCCAGAGGAGCCAGAAGCAATTAGAGGAGAAGATGTCAGGCCTGAAGGAAGAGCTGGTGATGGTGAAGGAGTCCCTGAACCAGGCAGTCCTGGAGAAGGAAGTCCTGGAGAGCCAGAAGGAGGGCCTTCGCCGCTCCCTCACCCAAGTATGGCCAGCCTGGCAGGGCCTCCAGGGCCGTCAGCTTCCGGGGGGCTCACATTTCTGTCTCTGTTTTCTTTGTCCTTCCTCCTTGCCCCCATGACTCCCCACCCCCAGCCCCCTCTCCTGTTCTGCTCTCCTCTCCCTTCCTTCTTCTCTAGGCTGTCAGCCTCAGGCTCACATTCATTTATTTTCCAATCTCTCGAAAAAACAAACTCCCCAAATTGCGTTAAAACAAGAAACAAAGGGCTACATTGACATGTGCCCTGGCCCTGCCAGCCCAAGGTTGTGAAACACCAGGGTGAGTGAGGAGCCCACCAGAAAGCCAATCTCAGGGATGCAGGGGAAATTCCATCCAGATTGGCTTCCTCTGGGGGGCTTGGACGTACTGAGCAATTGGACAACCTTTGTTCTCCTCGGCCATTAGAGCAGGGCTCCGTGAGGACTGCCATGCGGAAGGGGTGTGAAAAGGTCCGATGGAGGTCATTAGTCAATGACTTCATTGAATTGTTAGTGTTTCTAAAATCCCAGCCCAGTTCTCTCCTTGCTGCTTTGCAGGGTACAACAAGGACACCCCACCCAGTGGGCACAGCCATAACCAGGAGTCCCAATATTTGAGGCAAATTCACTTGAGGAAGGGTGGGCAAGTACCAGGATCCCAGGCCCTTGGAGAGAGGGAGGCAGAGCCCCCAGGCTTCCCCTCTGGGAACAGTAGACAGTCACGATGACAGTGCCCCATGAAAGGCATGATGTGGATTCCCAAGACAATCTGCATGCCCCCAAGATACCAGCTGACACCCCAAGGACTGACATCTTAACTCTCAGGAAAAGGTGGAGAGAGGGGAGGTGGAAGAAAAGAGAAGGTTCAATGCTTCTTCCACGGCAGACAGGTCCAAGAAGAGAGATACCATGACCATGGGCCCCATGGTTGGCAGCCCCAGGCCAGCCCAGGAATTGGAACCAGTGGAATGCCAAGAGACTCAAGGCCAGGGGCATGGAAGAACATAGAAAGAAGGGTGCACCCCATGTACATCAACACCCCAGAGCAAGGCTCCAGTTGTCCAACCCTAGTTACGGTTCTGCCTATTGAGGAAGGAGGAGAGAAATCAAACCTTCTTTCCCGGTGTAAGCCTGACTCTACCTCTAAGCCACAAGCAACAAGGTAGCATGGTGGAAAGACTTTGGATTTAGAGGTGGAAGGTCTGGGTTCGAGCCCCACTCCTCCACTTGCGAGCAAGTGGCTTTCCCTGCCTGAGCCTCAGTTTCCTCTTCTGTAAAGTGAAGGGTTTAGGTTAGAAGGTCCCTCAGGTCCCTTCCAGACATACATCAGAGCTGGGCATAACAGCAAAAGGAAGCGTCGAGGAAGAGTGTTCTTCTCCTTTCGGATGATAACATCTGAAATCCTCCGCGTCCAATCATCTGCTGCCTCATTTAGAGACCATCATCTTTCCAGCGCCATGTGAAGGGATGAGCCCTTGACCTGGAGTCACAGGGTCCCAGGTCCAGGGCTGGAAGGGAGCTGAGAGGATGTTTTACAAATGAGGAAACTGAGGCCCAAAGGTGTGAAGCCACTAGCCGCAGGACACACAGCTGGGGAGCAGTTGAGCTGAGATTTGAGCCTAGGTCCCATGGCTCTGTGCTTCATAACTGGATCAGCCCGGAAAAAGTCAGTCTGGATGGAGCATCTCCCCTGCTTCCCCAAGATCAGCTTTCTAGCAGGATCCCTGACCATCCTGGATTTTGGATGTCCAGGGCCAGGGGAACACTCTCCCCTTTCTGTGCCTCAGTTTCCTCCTTTACAGAATGAAAGGGCCGGACAAGGTGATTTCTAAAGTCCCTTTCAGCTCTAAATCCATGATACGACGGGCCGTTCTCTCCATGCTCTCAAACGTATTGTTCACAGTGCTAATGTAGCCTGTGCCTTAATGCAAGGCAGGCGGAAAGTGGGTGCTGGGCTCAGGACCTTGTAATATGAGCTTTGTGGGGGACCATGCTATGGGAAGCAGTGAAACCTTTTTGGTGTTTCAGTAACAAAATCTCCTTGGATGGAGTCCAAGCGGGGGGCACTGCCTTCTTTATAAATAAATAAAACCCAAATATTTGGGTTATGGAAACATAGCCTGCCTTGCGCTGAACTCTGTTCTACAGCAAACAATGATTACCCTGACATTCCAAGTTTGCAGAATGCCTCTTCAGGACTGAGAGCTGAGGGCCTCTTCTCCTGGTCCCCTTGGGATGAGGACATAGTTTCCCAGCTCACTCATGTGAGGGTGCCTAAGAGGTCCACCTCCGGTGGTTCTCTCTTCACTCCAGGCAGAGGCCAGCAGCACCCAACTCGAGTCACAAATAACCAAGATGAGAGCTGATGACACAGAACGAAGGGACACATTGGTCAAGATGGCAGCCCTGACAGAAAGCCTGGCTCAAGACAAGGTCAACCTGAACCGGATGATCCTACAGGTAAGAAGTCCTAGCGTCACCCAGCCACTCAAACTAGTGTCTGTTTCTTGGAGAACCACATTCTAAATGCGAAAAGAGTCAGCATGGGGAGGACATCAGAAGACCCTTCCCCACCCATGCATCATGGCCACACCTACGCCAAAACGCCAATACTGTCCTTTAAGACAAATATTCAAACCCACATCCTCAGACTACGTAACCAGCAGACTTTCCCCCACACAAGCCTTTCACCCTACTCACAAATATTTTCCCATTTATTCTGTGGGTGCCTTAAATTCCCATAAAAGAGAACATTCCACAATGAGAGATTAGGGTGAAAATTTTAGGATTCTGGAGAGGTAACTGGAATCACTTCAATTCATACTAAGGTGTAAATGACTAAATGTATATTCTTCCCTGAGGGTTGCCTTTGAGGAGGGGAAACAGAAGAGGTAAGGGCCAGAGGAGGGTGGGTAGCAGAAAGACAACTCCCAAACTTCCCCTTTGCACCCAGAGCCCCCACTGTAGTGATAGAGCATAGACAGGTCAGCATCATCTTCTTCTGGATTAGGCAATGTGCCTTCCCAACCATTGCATAGACATTCTCCTTGTTTTCTCTTGGGCTAAACAGCTGGAACAGGAGAAGAACCAGTGGCTAGACCAGCAGTGGCAGCTAGAACAAGAGGTGAGCCGCCTTCAAGATCAGCTTGCTCATCTGGGCCAGGAGCTGGACCACATCCAAAGGGAGAAGCAGGGACTGGATCAAACCTTGCAGACGGCAGAGGAGGAAAGAGGGAACCTGGAGGAAGACATGATGTTGCTTCAGAGAGAGAAAGCCCAGCTGCATGAGCGTCTCATGCAGGTGAGAAGAGATGTAGGCTAAGTGCCCCTGAACTGGAAAGTCTAACTCTCAGAGCCTTGCAGACGTGGTTGTTGAGATCCTTGGAGATTTCTTACTGCTCTTAATCTCTTGAGTCTTGGCTTTCTCTGCAGTTCAAAGCTAGATGTCCCAGAATCCTTTCAAGAGCTTCTTCCACACACACGTACACTTTTTAATGCATTTTTTTGCATGTAGGAGTTGTCTTTAGGCATATTTTAAAGATGACTGAGTTTTTCCTCTCTCTTTCCATCATGACAATATCTTTTTTTCTGTCCCTTTCTTTTAAATCATAGTCATAACTCCTGGTTGGGGGGAATTTATCTGAAGTACAATGATTTTTATTCCAGCCCTTCATCACATTTTTTTCTTTTTTATTATGAGTTTAATCATCAGCCAATAAACAAACATGTCAAAATGCAAAGGACAAAAAAGAGGATTATATATGAGTCCATGGGTTTCCATTAGGTACAGTTTGTCTTTTTAAGTACATACTAAATTTAACAAGGTAATAGCAAAATGGTTTTGTTTGTGTCCTCTTTTGAACTTTTTGTCTTCTTCTGTGTATTTTTAATGTTTTATTAATGCTCTTTTCTTCATTTTTTGCATCTCTATCAACATCCAATGACTCCCGATAGAATTTCTCCCTTGTAACAAATAAGTCTCAATATGTTGATTGACTGTCAGAAAATGTAAGTTTCATTCTAAACCTCTAGCCCACCACCTCCTACCAAGAGGCAGGAGGCGTGCAACCATTCATTCTAGCCCTGTTATATAGTTTTATGTTTTAAGCTTATGTCTTATATGCAGTAAATCTTGGGGTTCAGTTTCCCAATCCATTTTCCATTTTATTTCATTTTATGAGTGAGTTTAATCCATTAACATCCAAAGTTATGACTGTTGTGTTTCACCATTAAATTTTCATATATTACTTTTTGTCTGCTAAAACCACTAGTCCTTGCAGTTCATTTTGCTTAAAACAATCATACCTCTCCCATCCCATTTTGAACTTTCTTTCCCTCTCTCACTTTCCTATTCTCTACTTTCATCTCTCCTTTCCATGTACTTTATTCATCTCTGCCTCTTCTTTTTTCCACTTTTCTCTCTCCTGTTTTCCACTTCTATCTCTTTCTCTGCCTTGCTCTTCATTTTGAAATCCCAAAGGTAAGCTGTCAGAAGCACACTTTGGAAGGGCAACTAGACCACAACCAGCAAGAGATAAAAATGCAAGCTGACTCTCTCCAGCAAACAATACTAGAAAAAGAAGAGATGGCTAAAGAGAAAACAAGACTTGTGTTGGAACACACATCCTTGGAAAGACAGAATCGAGTCCTGGTGGAGGAGAGGGCTGCTCTCAGGTACCTTGACCTCCTCTTCTCAGTGCCCAGATCAGAGCCCTAATTTCCTATTCAGCAAGACTCCCAGAATCCTAGACTCCTGCACTCTATTCTTAGAGCAATACCATCCCCTAATGATAGAGTTGGGAGAAATCTTAGACATTATTTAATTCAACACACTGGAGAAACTGAGTCTAGTGGATCACGTGGCTTCTCATCCAAAAGCAAGTCCAAAGAACTTGGCTCACTAGCCCTTCCCGCTGATTTTCTAGCTGCCATCACTTCTTCCCTCCAGACTACTTACTTCCACTACTCAGCTTGGCTTTTCCTTCCCCTATTCCTCAAAAAAAAAAAAGCTAAAATCCTTATTTTCCAGAATTTGAAAAGCCTTTTACTGCTCTGACCTACAGCAGAAAGAATAAACATTCAGCAAATGAAAAAGTTATAAAATGTATTACAGTCTTTTCCAGCAAACCTAGTCTTCTCTGAACACTTACAATCAGCCCTTGTTATTTCTTAGATTAGATAAAACCTTTATTAAGTGTTTAGTAAATGCCAAATGCTGTGCTAAATAGTAGGACACAAATACAAGCAAAAGGAAAGGTAATCTCTGTCCTCCAGAAGCTTACATTCTAATGGAGGGAAACATCCATAGAAGGGGAGCTGAAAAGGGGGGAAGGGGATGGGGAGAAAAGGAATTTGGAGAGTAGAGGCTGAGCTAGGTTAGAAGTGAGCGTGAGGGATGTTGCTACTTCCTCAAATGGAGGGTCTCAGATGAACTCATGCATTGGAGGAGGAGGTCTTGAAGGGGGTAATTAACTCAGAGCTCACTTTTAAGTCTAATCTGCATTATAAACATTTTATCCTTTCTTCTTAAGTCTAGACAATGAACAAAGCATCAATTAAGCCCTGATTTATAGCATTTATCATTTCCAAGGTGCAAATACAGTAAACATTTAGCAATCAGATTAAGCTGTCTCTAGCACACCCCGGAGGGGGTGGATGTATCCTCACTGTGAGAAAGGCAGATATTGAAAAGTTATCCATGGGCTTGGGGGCTGAGTAACAATGGGAGATCTTAGAGGCCTTCTAGTTCAATCTTCTCATTTTACAAATGAGGAAACTGAGGCACAGCGGGATAGTGACTCATCTGATGATTCTGAGAATAGTGAGTAACAGTGATATTTAAGCCCCAGTCCTCTGACTTACATCTGGTGCCCTTTCCACTATACATCCTACCTATTCTTTCTCCCATTTTCTGACTGACCCCCCCCCCCCCAAGCCCAATCCAGGCTCCACTCAGCTGCTAAATTCCTGAAACACAGATCTGACCATGTTACTTCTGTGTTCAAAAAACTTCAATGGCTCCCCATTGTCATTATGCTACAATACAAACTTGCCTATCATTTAATTTAGCTTTTCACAATCTAATTCCAGCCTCTATTTCCAGACATTTTGCATTCTTCCCCTCCCACATTACACATTCTAGTCAGACTGGCCTGTTTGCTGTCCCCTGTACCTAACACACGACAGTAATTTAATCTCCCACCTCCACACCTTTGCCCTCACCATTCCTTGAGTATAATGCTCTCCATCCTCATTTCTGCCTCTTGGAATCTCTAGTACCCTTCAAGGCTCAGCTTCTTGATTCCCCTAATTGTCAGCATCCCCTCCCCAAATTTCTTTGTTTGTTTTTTTTTGTATTTACTGCTCTGTGTAAACAAAGCATCACCAGTGGAATGGAGGCCCCTTGAGGGCAGGGACTGCTTTGGTTTTGCCTTTGTATACCCTGTGCCTAGCACAGTGCCATGCACACAGGGGCCACTTAATAAATGCTCATTGAGTTAAATCTCCTTTCTCAGTCAGTCAGTCAGTCCCTGCCCCAGAGAGATGTTCACACAGCTTCCTATCTTTAACCCATTGGGTCCAATTGACAAAGCTATTGGTAGCTCAACCCTTCTTGCATTCACACCCCAGTCCTTATCTATTGCTTGAAGTGTAACCCTTGTCTATGGTCCTTCCAGGTAAGCCTCTCCCCACCTGCCCTCAGCCTGGGGCAAGGTGTCCTGCCTTGACCCCCTGCCCCCCTGGCTAAGAAAGACCCTTCCTCTCCAGCTGCTCCAGAGCCTCTCCCTGCCTTGGCAGATCTCTCTGAATTCAGAACTGCAGGACCCTGCCTTGGGAGATCAGTTGTGGTACTAGCTAGGATAGATGGGGGACATGCTTTTATTTATCACATTTGCTTCTCTATTCCATGACTTTAGCCTGGTGCCCAGGCTCCCCTCACCCAAGTCCATTGACCGTTCCTCTTCTCTGATGCTTCTCTGACAAAGTGGTCTCATCTGAACCAAGCCTAATCCCCTGTACTGATCTCCACTTCTCCCTCAATCCTAGTTCAATTAACCAACCAACAGAGATATGTTAAGCAGAGTGTGGGACCGGAAGTCAGGATGATTCATCTTCCTGAGTTCAAATCTGGCCTCAGACACTTACTAGCTGTGTGACCCTGGGCAAGTCACTTAACCCTGTTTGCCTCAGTTTTCTTATGTGTAAAATGGGGATAATAATAGCACCTACCTCTTAGGGTTGTTGTGCAGATCAGATGAGAAAAATAATTGTAAAGCTTTTAGCATAGTACCTGGCACATAGTAGGTGCTATATAATTGTTAGCCATGATTATTCTAATGGAAGTGACAACATGTCCCCATATAGAGATGGACACAATACAGCCAAATCCAATACCAGGTCACCTTGGAGGGGAAGGCAGGCCCTTGTAGCTGAGGGATCCGGAAAGCCCTCCCACACTGGGCTCCTCTGAGCTGATGAGTTTCTCCTCTTAGAAATCCGTCCCTGCCTCCCTCTTGTTGATAGGATGGGAGATAACAGATGCCCCTGGGCTTGGTGAACATTAGCCACTTTCTTCCCCCTCCCTCTTCCTCCGCCCTCCTCTGAGCATCAGACCTGTGACTCAGGGCTCAAGCCCTTCCCCTTGGGGCTCACTGTCTAGACTCCAAGCTCCACAGTAAACAAAAAAGATACCGGGCGCATTCCAGACATCGTATGAGACACATCTCACAGCCCCAACAAGCCCCAGTAACCAGGGCAAGCGGATGTACTACACCTGCATTTTACATGAGAGGAAACTGAGGCAATGAATAGTGAGTCACATGCCCCAGATGCCACAGCTGGCTGGTGGTAGAGTAAGGAGTCTCAGTCCAGGTCTCCTGGTTCCCAGTCCAGAGATTTTTTCCCTTTCCTCTTCAGAAAAGACCTTGGTCCTTCGCTCAAGAAGTCCTCAGTGGCTGCTGAGCACATAGTTTGGGGTGAGAACCCTCCATTTGGACCCAGAGAAGCTGAACTCACATTCCCGCTAGGACACCTGTCACTTATGTGAGCCCAGGTAGAGTCCCACAGTGATGAAATCTAAGATCCTTGATAAACAGACTTGCCTGTCTACAGGTATACAGTGTGGGTGCGATATATGCAGAGATACACGCAGGGAAACCGAGTTGGTTGGAGTATGTCACCTACATCTTCTTGGGTGCACACTAAAGCCACAGGGGAGGAGAAGGTAGCTATAACTAAGCTGGGCAGGAAAGCTCAGAGACAAGAACATGAGATTTAAGGTCAGGACATGGGTTCAGATCCTGGCCCCACACTTACTAATCTTGTGACCCTCTTCCAGGGCACCACCCTTCATCCAGACCTAGTTTCCCAACCTTGGAGCCATCTCTGACTCCATGACCTCATTCACACACTCCCAGTCCCATCACACACAAATCTGGCTGCTTCTGCCTCCACGAGGCCTCCCCCATCCGTCTCTATTCTCACCAGCCTGTTCCCCAAGCTGTATTGTCTCTACCTTTGTTTTGGCACAAGCCTCTTCGTGGCCTTCCCTGCTTCCAGTCTCTCCCATCTCCCGGCCATCCTCCAGAAGCTGCCCAACTGAGCAGCTCGGACCCTGTCCCTTCCCTATCCAAGAAGCTCGGTGCCTCCCCATTGACTCCAACATCCGACACAACCCTTTGGCCATAGGAGTCCACCACAGCCTGGCTGCAGTCAGCATTCCCAGGCTGATCCCACCTTCCTCCCGCACTCACTCTACTATCCTGACAAGTGACCCTGCTGGCTGTTTCCTCTCCACAACATTCCATTTCCTGACCCCATGCCTGCAATGTTCTCCCTCCTCATCTTTGCCTCCTTAAATCCCTAGTTCTCCCCCAGCCCCACTCAGGTGATGCCTCCTGGACCGGACTCTTCCTAATCCTCCCAGTTGTCAGTTCCCCACCCCCACCCAGAATGACTATGCACTTAGTTTTATATATATGACATTTATTTATCTGCATGCGTGCAGAATCCCCGAGGGGAACTTAAGCTCCTTGAGGGAAGGGATTGTTTCATTCCTATTTCTATATTGACAGCATCTCCTCCCTGCAAAGGGGAATGCTGTGTTACTGGAATCTCTAGTTGTCCAGTTTTGCTGAAATGAGGGGAAATAATGGGAAATCTGTCTGAAAGCCCCAGCTAAGGAGTCTGTGTTTTATCCTAGGGACGATAACAAACAGCTAGGGGTACGTGGGACTTGGAATCAGAAAGACCTGAATTCAAATCTTACTAATTCAGTGATCCTGGGCATGTCACAACCTCTGTATGCCTCAGTTTCCTCATCTGTAAAATGGAAATAATAATAGCACCGCCCCCCTCTCCAGGTGCCGGGAGCCCTCCTGTTGTGAAGCTCAAGTGAGACATTAGTAAAGCATTGTGCCGACTGCAAATGTCCATTGTCGGTACTGGTTCCACCGCCCCCACCCACGTGGAGAAGTCGAGGTTCTGTGATCAGCCTCTGAGTTCTGTCCAGCCTCGCTGCTCAGCAGAAGTCAGAAGGGAATTGCCCGGATCATCAGCTGTACTTGTTTGATCCCAACCTGCAGGGCTGAGAAGGAGTCCCTGGACAGCAGCCTCTTCTCGACCCAGCAGCGGGTGGGTCAGCTGGAAGCCCAGAAGGAGCGGCTGGAAGAGGAGCAGCAGAGGCTTCGCCTGGAAAAGCAGGCGCTCCAAGGTATTCCCTGCCTGTACTCTGGGGGCTGAGGCCCGAGCAGGAAGCCCCTCCTCACTAACATCCTGGACACTTTGCTCGAAGACCACCACGGAGCAGGAACTCGCTGCCTCCCGAGGCAGCCCATTCCCTCCGAGGCAGCTTCATTGCTAGGAACCGGTCCCTGACATCAAGCCTTAACTTGCCTTTTACACCTTCAACCCAGTCTTTCCAGTTCTGCCCTCTGGGGCCAAGCCACACCAGACTAATCCCTCTTCCTTCCCATACCTGAGGATGGTTATCAGGTCTTCTCCAAGCCTCCTCTTCTCTGGGCCCCATAACCGTAGTTGCTTCAATGAACCCGATGTGATGGATCCTTTAATCCTCTTACCATCCTGGCCTCCTCAGATGTGCTCTGACCAGGGCAGGCTGTGCTCCCCTCCCTTACTCTGGACACCAAGCTTCTACTGATGGAGCCCCAGATCACCTTCAGTGCTCTGACAGACTGCTACATTGTTGTCTCTTACTGAGATTGCTTTCCACTGAGATCTTCACACCTTGGTTTACTTGTTTTTCCTCATGACTTGCTTTCCACATACTAACCCCTATTCGGTACTTGTGCTATTGATTTCTTATGCCCCAGTGCAGGAGCATTGATCATTATCATTTATATTATTTACATTTGTTCTGTGAAATTTCATCTTAATAGATTCAGCTCTGAATTCTAGTCTTTCCCTTCATTAAATCAATGGCTTGGATTTGTTCTCTTATGGAGTGGAAAAGAATCACCAATTTGCTCCGCCTCCAAGGTCTATGGAATCGGCACCTCCCCCACCCCCATATATCCTAGGTGGGGGAGTAGCTCCCAGTACCCACTTTCCACATCACAAATCATCATGCCGATGAATAAGAAGAGCTGCCAAGGATGGAGTTGGGTGTCAGTGGGTGGCCAGTATTGGCCATCTTTTTTTTTCCCCACAGTGGAAGTGGAGAGGACCCAGAATGAACTGGAGGCTCTAGACACCAAGATGAAGCAGGAGGCAGAACGGCTTGAGCAGCAGATGGCTCAGCTTGAAGAGGACACTCAGCTTTCCCTCAGGAACCAGGCGCTGGCCCACGGGGAAGATGTGGGACGCCTGAGAAAAGAGAAGGTAACTCCCTCCAGCTGCTCAGTCCAGCAAAGTCAAGAGCAGGGGTGGGGAACCTGCGAGTGGCCCTCCAGGTCCTCAAGTGTGGCCCTTTGACCAAATCCAAACTTCATAGAGCAAAGCCTTACCCCTGGAAGAGGTTCACTTGCGGGGTGTGGGGTCCATCCTAAGCTCACTAACTACTTCTTCATTTGACTACACCTAATCTTCCCCACTCCCCCAAGCTGTCCTCAACCCCTTCCCACCCTGACCTCCATTGAAATTGCTCTCACACAAGTCAGCAACGGCCTCCTAATGGACAAATCCAATGACCTTCTTCTAGGTCTCATTCCTCTTAGTCATCCTCTGCAGCAGTCCACACTGTAGACCACACCCTCCCACTAGATATCTTCTCCCCTTGGTTTCAAGACCCCACACTTCCCTGGCTGTTTCCACATCTCTACCTACTTCCCAGTCTCTATCAACGGTTCCTTTTTCTTTCCCCAGATCCTGACTTTGGACTTCTTTCCTCCTCTCCTCTATACCAGGAATTGTCAACCTGGGGTCCACAGAACCTGAAAGAACCCATAGATAGTTTTCAAGGGGTCTATGAATTTGGATAGGGAGGAAATACATCCTTGTTTTCACTTGTTTCTAACCGAAACTTCCTTTGATTTCCTTCGATTATAAATTTTTAAAAACATGGATCTGAGAAGGGGTCCCCAGGTTTCCCCAGACTGTGAAAGGAGTCCATGCCAGAAAAGCAGGTACAGAAATCCTGGTCCACACTCTCGCTCTGCCACACAGTTTCTGGTTACCCCTCCATGCAGAGCCCTCCCTGACTCTTCTGAGAACCAGAGCCTGGTCTCCAGTTTACCTGAACTGAACATGCACAAACCCAGCTTCTCACCCATCCCTTGAGACCAACTCCTCCTGACTTCTCTGTTTCTGTCACTGAATCCACCAACCTCCCAGTCTCTCATTTCCCAAAATTTGTCTTTTTTCCCTTCTCTCACCTCCCATACCCAATCAGTTATTAATGAACAAACATTTATTAAGTAGTCATTCAATCAATAAACATTTATTAAGCACTATTATCTACCAGGCACTGTGCATTATTAACTCCTGACCTACAGTAGCTCGTACCATCCTCAGATTCAGGTAAAGGAAGGACCATGGACCCACACCTAGATCCACATGGGTCATAGAATGGGGGTTGGAAGGTCCTTTGACCTCAGAAGCCAAATAGTCCAATCTTCTCATTTTACCAATTAGAAAAGTAAGACCCAACCATGGACATGATTTACCCAAGGTCACACAAGTAGTAATCAGAAGAATCAAGATTCAAACCCAAGTCCACTGACTTCAGATGCAGTCCTCTTCCCATTCTACCATTTTGACAGAAGTCACATTTCAGTGGCACACATGTCATGGTCCTGTCCTGCTCTCCTCTCACCTCTGTTCCCAGCTTCACCCCTATTCTAGCCCCAACATCTGCCCTTGTTCTTTCCAGCTCCAAAACTTAATAATCTGTCCCACCATTTTGCCTCAACTCCTCAGGAGAGTCTGCGTCTGGCATTGACTGAAGAGAAAGAGATAACCATAAACCATCTTAAGCAAGAGAAAGAAGACTTGCTTTCAAAATATGAAACTGAGCGAGAAAATCTCAATGAAGAAATACTCAGCCTGAAACGGGAGCGAGACGAAAGCCTTCTCCAAATGGAACACGAGAAGCAGAAGGTGAAGAGAAATGGGGGCCACTTGTATTCAATGCAATTCCACAAACACTTGTTAAGCACCTTCTGTGTGCAAAGTCATAAGGTATAGAAGATACAGGACCAGTCTTAAAGTCAAGAAGACCTGGGTTCAGTTCCTAAGATACCTTGTCACCTTGAGCCCTCCTCAAGCTCTGTGAACCCCAGGCAACTCTCTAAGACTCAAAGTTCCAGAAGAGTTGCTATTCTAGATCTGTGAAGGGAGTTTCCACACTGGGAATTTGCAATACACATGAAATCATAGGTTTAAATACACACACACACACACACACACACACACACACACACCAAAAAATTGCAAAGCAAGCACCAAGTTAGGCACTTGAGACAAAAGGCAAAACCGACAAATGGTGCCTGTCCTCAAGGTGCTGACATTCTATAGTCTACACATCTGCTTATCTACTGCTTCTTCCTAATTTTTTAAAATCTCAGCAATAAGCCGAGACGTCATGGCTAATGTCTGATTATGAAGAGTTTCCATTACTCAGAACAGAGCCCTTCCTACCAAATCCCAATATCAAAAGCTGATTAGGAGGGAACTTAAGAACTGCCCTAGTGGCAACTGCAATAGTCCAGACATGAGGTGATGACAGTGTGTCAGAGGAGAGAAGGGGGCCTTTAGGAGAGACGCTAAGTAGAATCAACAGGTCTAGGAAAATGATTGGATATGGGGGAGAGGGTGGTGGGAAAGAATAAGGAGTCAAGAATGACGTCTAGGTAACCAGCTTGGGCTGCTGGGAGGATGGGGTTACCATCAATAGTAAAAGGAAGGTTAGGAAGAACTGAAGGTTGGGAAGAGTGGGGGGAGAAGACAATATATTCAGTTTTGCACATGTTAAGTCTAAGATAACAATGGCAAATTCATTTTGAGATGGCCAATAAGTAGTTGGAGAAGCAAGACTACAGATCAGGAGAGAGATAGGTCTGAAAACTATCTACGTAGAGGCATTAACTGAATCCATAGGAGCTGATGTGATCACCAAGTGAAATGGTATGAGAGAGAACATAAGAAGGCCCAGGATAAGACCCTCTGGGACACCCATGTTTACAGTGCACAACTGGGTCAAAGACCAGCAAAGGAATCTGAAAAGGAGTGTTCAGATGGGTAGGAGGAGAACCAGGAGAAAACCTAGAGAGAAAAGAATATCAGGAAGAGGGTGGCCTACAGTGTCAGAAACTTCAGAGAGGTCAAGAAGGATGGGCATTGAGAAAAGGCCATTGGATTTGGTCATTAAAAACATCACTGGTGACTTTGGAGAGAGCTGTTTCAGTAGAATGAGGTTGGGGAAGGGAATATGGAAGTGAGAGGAAAGGAGGTCGAAGGACCAGTTGTAGACGCAACAGAAGGGAGGAGAGATATGGGATACCAAGTGAGGGGGTTTTGAGGGTGGGGGAGGTGAGGGCATGTTTTTAAGTAATGGTGAAGCAACCAGCAGCTGGGAAGAGACTGACATGCAGTGAGAGAATGGGGATGATAGGGCAATTTGCTGGAGAAGATGGGATGGAATGGGGTCATCACAGAAGATAAATCAACAGGGAAAAAATCCATTAGAAGAAAAATGTTAGCCTTTCAATGAGGCTCCTTCTATTGCTCAACATAGAGCTCTTTTTAAAATGTCACTTCTATTTTTTCCTGTTATTTCTGTGTTCAAAAATTAAAGACTGTATGAGCTAGTAACTCAAGGAAGAATCCCACTTCTGCTGATTATCCATGTGACCTTGGACAAGTCATCTCCCTTCTATGGGCTTCAGTTTCCTCATCTGTAAAATGAGGGGCTGGTACGAAGGTCCCTTCCAGCCCTCAATCCTAAGATGCTATAATCAGATAGGGGTCATCCTTGGCTCGTTGATGATCCATAATATATGTTTGACTGAGTGACAAAAATACTAAATTATCCAGGTTCAGTTTCCTTCCCTTCTGGCTTTGGGATCTGGACCCTTACTCTTTTTACTCTAAATGATTATTTAACATTGAAGAACACTCTCATTGCTACAATCCTTTCCTTAAAGAGGCTTGATTCTTTTTCTCTTCTGAATCACTTAAACGTTTTTTCACAGATCAAGAACATAGTTTCCTCACCTCCTCTTTCATCATTTCTAGGCCTTATCTCTAAAGGAAACTGAGAAAAATATATTGTATGAAGAGCTCATTGAAGCCCATCGAGAACTGGAGGAGGCCAAGCTGGAGACTGACCGTGTGAAACAGCAAGCACTGAGCCAGCAGGAGAAAGACAAGGTGAGCTTGGCAGAGCTGTTTTCTGCTCACTGAAGGCATTGATTGGCTTCTGTCAAATACAGATCTGGCTCACAGAGGATGGATGCTAAGGAGGATGGGCTAAGGGAGAGGAGGTCACTATAGAGACTTGAATGCCCCCCTATCCATGGTTTTTTTCTCTGTCACTCCTTCTTTTCCCACATTAGTACTCAGAGTGGCAGTGTGTCACAACGGATAGATAGCGCTCAGAGTCAGGATGCCTCAGTGCCACCAAACAGCTCCTTCTCCTTCAATCCCAGTTTTAAAAATTATGTCTTGGATTGTCCCCTGTTGTTTCATGTGTGTTAGTCTCTTCTCTCTATTAGAACATAAGCTTGCTGAGGGCACAGACTTCCATTTTTGTTTCTAGCACTTAGCACAATGCCCTGCAAAGGGTAAGTACATAGAAACACTCCAAAAATACCTATGGTTTGGTTGAGTGAGTGATTGATTTCATTTATAAGCCCCTTAAGGTTCTGGATCTTAGTTATACTCATCTGCATCATCCACAATGTTCTACAGTGCACAGTATCATGGGTGTAAGGGGTGGAATCCCAGCCCCCACACACCTTTAAGGGTGAAAATGCCTCTTTGATTGAATTGTAGAATCACTCAATCCATCCAACAATATGATGTGGTAAATACATTCGCTATAGTCTGAGGTGGGAATCTCTTTGATTAGATCAAGAAGAGGAGTTCAGCTCCAATGGGGTGTGCCCAGTGATGGAAGATTTCAGTTGGACAGTTGAGGATTCCAGTTCAAGCCAAGCCCCTGAGAGGAAACTCATTACTGTGGTGGTGGGGTGGGGGGAGAATTCTGCTTCCAACCTTGCCTCTATCAAAGAGGTCTGGAGGGAGCAGGGTTATAAGGGCGTTGGGTCCTGGGGAAATAATGAGGAGGGCAAAGAGAAAGTCCCAAAAGATTCCTTACTCACATTTGAGGGGGATGATCACTTTTCCTTAATATTCCCAATGGATCTTTGCCCATCTCTATGTCCCCCTGCCTCCAGGTGGGAAATGGATGAGATGATCACCTGAGCAAGGATGAGTGTGTGGTGGCCCAGAAGTGAGGAACAAGAGGTTTTCTGACACTCGGAAGAGCCTTTCTTAGTCAAGTTCTTGGGGGTAGAATCAATGGCCTCTTGGTGTGCCTTGGGCCACAGATTTTTATCCTGATAGATAAAGCTCCTTCATCAGCAAAGACAGCTCAGAGCTCCTTCCTGCAGACAAGAGCAGAGCTAATGTTTGGGAAACTGCCCCAAGATCTCTGTTGCTGAAGAGGTCTCCCAACCCTGTTCCTAATTAGACTTCCTCCCTATTCCACTCTCCCATACCCCCCAAAAACCACTCTGTAAACTTTCGGAATCAAAAGAAGTTCAAAAACATTTCCCCTGCCAAGCCACCATATCCTGAATGCTGCCTATCACCGGGCACATTCGAGGCAGGAAAGACAACTCATGTTTTTCGGGAACACTCTTCTTGTTAGTGAGGACACTAGTACAACGCTGTGTGGGGGGCTCAGCAAGTCGTTGTCCTACCGCTGACTCAGCAGCCTCTCCTTCACCCTCTCTGTTTCAATGTCTCATCAGAGAGCTCCTCAGTCAGGTTATTTTCATGGGAAACAGCAGCCTCAGGTTTGGAAGTGGGTGGAGCATTGTTCCAGGATCAAAGAAGTGTTCCGAAAACTACTGGAGAATGGGATCCCCTGGAGGTCAAGGACATCTGTTTTCATTTTTGTCTTTGCCTCTAGTCCAACATGGTGCCTGGCACACTGTGGGCTCTTATAGATGCCTGCTGAACTGAGTCTAGTTCAGTTGACTATGTGTTGCAAAGTTAAGGAGGAGACACTCAGTCACCTCCTTCTGCCCAAGAACTGGGAGTTGAACATTGGTTCTGGTGTCAGGGGACATGGGTTCAAATCCTGCCTGGGACACATACCATCTGTGTGACCTTGGGCAAATCCCTTAACCTCCCTGGCACCCAGTTTATTCATCTGTGAAAAGTGGGGGTTACCTTAGGTCCCTTCTAGCTCCAGGTCAATGGTCCATGATCCTATGCTTGTCTCTGGCCCTTGGTTTCTTCACCTGTAAAATGAGGCCATTGGACGAGGTAGCTTCTGAGATTCCTTCCAGCCATAATCCTACAATACCACCACCCACCACGTAGTGACTGTTAACTTGAGAGGAGAACTAGGGAGGATGAGTGGAAGCTGTCAACAGACAAATGCAGGCTTGACACCAGGAAGAAACTGGTAAGAATTAGAGGTGTCCAAAAGGAGCGTGGGAAGTCAGTTAGCATTTGTTAAGCCCTACTTTGTAACAGGCACCATGCTGAACAAAAGGGGTATGAGAGAGGGGAAAACATGATCCTTACAGTCCAAGAGCTCACATCTGAGTCAGGAAGATGTCCTGCAGATAAATGGGTACATATAGGATGTAGACAGAGTGGATGGAAGGCAATCTGAGAGGGGAAGGCATCAGCAGCCTTCTCAACCACCCCAAGGGGCCAGGGGGCAAGGGTCATTGTGCCAAATGGAAACCAAGGCCAGCAGAGGGGAGATGCTTTGTCCAAGGCACAAGAGCCAGGGAGTGCCCAGCTGAGGTTCAAGCTCAGATCTCCCGGCTCCAAGTTCAGGATTCTTTCCATAACCCCATACTGGGCAGAGCTCTGGTCTGAAATGTCTCTGGTTTTCAAGAATCTGGAAACAGCAAACACTTAGCTAGAAATGTCCCTAAGTATATAACCTACAAAGCCAGCTGCCTCTAGCTTTCCTGGCACATAGTAGGCGCTTAATAAATGTTTATTGACTGACTGACTGAATGACTGACCCCGTAGTTGTGAGTGCACTCCCCTGCTAGAAATTAACTTGTATTGCTTTTCTTCTGTGCACAAAGCATCCCCCTGTCCCCTCTCTCACCATTGATGGGCTCCTTGAGAGAAGGGACAGCTTTGGGTTTTGACTTCACACGGTCCCTGGCACATAGTAGAGGCTCAGTAAGTGGTTGTCAGATTGAATCAAATCAGAGAAAAAAAGAAAGAAATGTAAGCATGAGATCACTTGGGTTTAACTCACTTGAGAGATCAGTTCAAAGGAAGACACTAAACTGGGAGGGAGGGAAAGGAGGGCAGAGGGGAAGAGCATAATATTCTAGAACAAACAGGCAATTGCAAAAAAAGGATAAAAAATCCAACCCAAACAAATTTGAAAGGCATTTGAATTGGAAACACTACTTAGAAACCATAAGAGGACCCAAATAAACAACCTCTATTCCCCACACTTCAATAAACAAAAGCCCCTGACTTCTATAAACTCTGCTGGGCCAGGGAGAAGGAAGAGGCTGTCCAGTGGCAAGGCTTCCTTGTCTCCTGAACAGCCTTGGGCTTCCTTCTCCAGCTTGGACCCTTGGGTGCGTCCCAATCCAGCACCCTCCTCTGCTTACCTCGAATGTCCAGAGCCTTCTCACGGACACTATCTTTCCATCTTCTCGACCCCTTGGAAGGTAGTATGGCGAGTATGATTCCCCTGTTTTACAGGAGGGGAAACTGAGGCTAGAGAGATAGAGTGGCTTAGTGAACAGCATTGGACTTAGAGTCAAGAAGACCCCAATTCCAATGCTGTCACTTCGTCGGGATGAGATCCCAAGTGGGTCACAGTTTCCCCAAGCCTTTGGTTTCCCCATCTATAACATGATAAGAGAAGCCTTGCAGTGAGGGAAAGGGTTTAGGGCAACTGTCTTGTATTTCAAAGGCTGACATGTAGAAGAAGAATTAACCATTTCCGCTTAGAGCAAAGAACGGGAGCTACGGAGAGGCAAATTTAGGTTGGGAGGTCAGGAAGACCTTCCCAAGGACTGGAGCCTTCCAGAAGTGGAAGGCACTGGTGCCCGGCTGCTCCATCACTGGCACTTGGTCTTTTGTCCAGGATCGTGCAGAGGGCATTCTTGCTCAGGGACTGTTGGGGCCAGATGGCCAGTGGTGTCCCTTCCAGAAGCCTCTGTGATTCTGAGAGGTCCCAGTGGAGTTTGGCATCTAAGCACTGAAATCCTGGCACTGCTAGTTAAAAGGGGGCCAACTTTTGGCAAGGCAAGAGACCCTGGTTGGTCATCACCGTCATCTTCTGTAGAGTGCAAGGACTGACCCAGGCAATCTAGAAAACCACCTCTACTTTGCCTGCACCTGTGATTCTGACTCCAGGGGTTTGGCCGTGAGGCCAGACTGCCCCCCACACAGCAGAAGCTTATTGGGTGTCTCATGCATACAAGCACCCAAGAGGAACCCCAGTGGGGAGGCCCCACACAACCTCAACCTTCTCCTTTTCAAATGCTCCCTCTTCACATGCCAGATTCCAGGCAAGATGACCTGCCTGCTGTCTCCCACCTCCGTGCCTTTGTATAGGCCATCCCTCATGCCTGGATTGTCCTCCTTCATATTAATCAATATTTATTAAGCACCTACTATGTGCCAGGCACTGTGCTAAGCACGACAGGCACCTCTTGGACTCCCGAGCTTCCTGTAAGCCTGGGCTACCATATCACCTCCCAGATGAGGCTCTTCCTGATCACCTAGTCATTTCTTTAGTACCTACCCCCTCCCACAAATGGCTATTTACTTTGCATCAATTTAGGATGCTAGAATCATAGATTAAGATTTGGAATGGAGCTCAGAGGCCATCTTCATTTTACACATGAGGAAACTGAGGCCTAGGAAGGCTAAAAGACTTGCCCACCTACTGCACAGGCCAGGATTTGAACTCAGGTCCTGCACTCAGTACCCTGGCACCATCAGATTTCAGAACAGCCTCTCCCCTCCTACTCTTCCCCATCTTCCTTGGCCATCAGCTCCATGTGCTCTTTCTGTCTTGGTGTGGATAAAGGGAGGCCAGCACCAAAACCCAATGCCCTGACTTATCTGGAGGGGAAGGAATGTTGCAATTAGGTGCTGGACACTAGCACTCAGTTTCCTCATACAGCTCCACACTGGGC